CCGTCACATTATAACACCCCCACGGCTGAAAGGGGGAGCATGTTTGGTGGAACGGGGATATGAACCCGCGACCCTCAGATTTTGTTCAAGCACAAACTTTTAGCTCATAGCTCCGTCATCTTTTGACCGATTTGAGATCTAATTACATGCCGGGCCCCTCACAAAACTGAAAAATTAAATACTCCAGTTGTTGTCATGATATATGGTCCGAATAAAACTGTTACTTAGTCATATCCTCCTTAGGCACTCTTTCATAAATGATTAAGAAGAAAATTATCAAAATTTGCAGTGCATGCTAAAGGGATTTACATATTTTGGTAAAAAGTTTAGAAAAAACAGTCTTTATACTCCAGATATATATAAAACAATTGTTTATTATACCTTAACCAACGTTTCGCCTTTGCGGCTTCATCAAAGTTAATATACACAAAGAAACTTCATCAATTAGGCAAATATTTAAAAATTATTTCTGTGCAAACGTCAGTATTGTTTCCCAGAATGCTTTAGCTGGTACTCATTTGTAAAATAACTTGGGTATTATTTTCAGATATTTTCTTTACTGTTTAAGCCGAGTGCTATTGTAATTATTGAACTGAAGAATTTCTGTGAAGTGGGTTTTTAACTAGTTGAGTGATTCTAATTCAATGTTTATATCATGCTTTCAGTTGCCAAAATTCAGCCAAATCATGAGTTGATGAATATCTGCATTAAAAAATATTTCTTCCATGCACTCTAATAGATTAGGTATTATATATATTCCTTCAGATGATCTGTTTCACTTTCTGCACTATAAACGAGTCATTCCACTGAGTGATACAGAAATGAACTCTTTCTATTGAAATTCTTTTTGTGCATATATTTTCTTTCGTGTAGGCCACATTTTATTAAATTTTCATTCAGTTTCTTCTGCAATAACCTTACAATTTTGTTTCTTCTTTAAGTATATTAGCAAGGCCACTTTTACTGATTTTTCAATTTCTGGTGTTATTTCAAAAAGAAATAATTATTTTCAAATTTACGTGAAAGTTATGCCATCATATCCAACATCTGCTTGTTACAAGGAACATTTGTACAAGAAAGAGTAGTTTTTAAAATATATCAGATATCTAACCATTTTAGTTTTCAGTTGTCTCTGTTTAATATTGGCGATTGAATATTTTATAGCTTGTGCCAAGATGATGCAGTTATATAAAAGATTTTCTAAACTTTTGGTTAATATATCTGGTACCAAGTTTTACTATGTAAAACTTGTATACCAAGTCTCCAAGTGGCTCAGCAGCATTGAAGTGCTGTTTAAACTTACCAAACTGTTTAAATAGATAATAGAGATCAATCTTTAGGCCCTTCACACCAGAGAACTTCTTGCTTAATTTCAAACTTGCCAAACTGTTTAAATAGGTGATAGAGATCAATCTTTAGGCCCTTCATATCAGAAAACTTCTTGCTTAATTAAACAATCCTTGACTTCAAGCTTAGTGCAGGTGAAACAACACGTAATTCCATAAGCCAGTTGCGATCAGATTATCTCATTTGGATCACAAGATGTATTATCGGAGGCGTCATTTGTGTTACAAGATATCAATAGTTTTGTATATTTTTTATTATAGTTTGAGATTTTTGCACTTCTATCACTGAAATGATCGATATCTTGTGAAAGACAGGAGTTTCTTCCCACTCGAATGAATGGATTTTTTATTACCAGTTTTTCTTGCCTGAGATCCATCACTTAAGATTGAAAATGTATGTACCATATGAAAACAACAGCCAACTTGTTTCTTGCCTCGGTTATCTCACGACCAAGTTTCTTTGGATGCTTATGATATTCATATCCTATAATTAGTTTCACAGTCGATGCTTTCTGTTTGTTTGTTTGAAGTTAAGCAAAAAGATACACAATGGGCTATCTGTGCTCTGCCCACTACGGGTATCGAAACCCGGTTGCTAGCGTTGTAAGTCCGCAGACATACCGCTGTCCCACTGGGGGCAAAAAAAAATGTATTTTGTAACGAAGTTTGTGTTAATCACATATTTGTCAATTTTATTTAAAGCTTACCCATAAAATTTATTATTCTCTGTTCTGTAACCAGCATGGAGTAAATAAATAACATAATTAATCTGTATTACTTGTATACCTTTAACTATTGCATAAGTTACAATAATAAGCCATAACAGCTTGTAAAATTATTGTATAAATCATCTTAGTAATGTTAGTTATCATTATTAACGATCGATGATACTTCTTCATCTCTCCTTGTCCATTTTGCAGGGGCTCGGCATGGCCAGGTGGTTAGGGAGCTCGACTTACAATCTGTGGGTCGCGGGTTCGAATCCCCGTCCCACCAAATATGCTCGCCCTTTCAGCTGTGGGGACGTTATAATGTGACGGTCAATCTCACTATTCGTTGGTAAAAGAGTAGCCCAAGAGTTGTCGATGTTGACTAGCTGCCTTCCCTCTAGTCTAATAATGGTTGGTGACGGCTTGAATGGGTAATGAAGAAAAACTTTAATATAAGTTTAACATAACAGCAAATGTACAACGTTTC